TATATATAATATATATATACACATAAAGGTTTGACATTTATCTTAAATAGTAGCAAAAATTACGCCAAAATTTTTTGTTTGTACTTTGATATTATTTTTTTAAAAAAAAATTGAAAACGAGCGGAGTTTTTGAAATTGAATAAAAAAGTCAAAATAAAATTTAAAAGTGGTCAACAATTGCGGCTTTGGCATCATAGTTGTCCGAGATTTTCTTATAATCTTTTGATTTGGTTGTGCAACAATAAGAAGGGAAATTTGAAAAAGAAAGAAAGAAATGAATGAAATTGGTCGACAATCGTGGCTTCATAGATGTCCGAGATTTTCTTATAATCTTTAGATTTGGTTGTGCGGCAGTAAGCGAAATTTACTATACATTTTTCATTAATGTCATATTCAACAAAAAATTTAAACCAATATTGATGCTATAACTAATAAAAGTAACTTAATAAATTTAATATGTACGTAACTGGGTCAAATAAGAAAAATAATCTAAAATCTGCCATGATCCTCGAATTTCCTTCGTAATTGTAGAGCAACCAAATCTCAATATTTAATCACAATTACAACCAAAAGATTTAAAAGTTAGATTATACCAAACAATTATAAAACTCTTTATCTATTTACATATATTAAAAATACCCATTAACTATTTTAACATGAGTATGGTGTGCTCACAGAAACACCATCCTCCTTCCCGTTATTTATTGTATATCTAAACACCTATTACCTGAGTAATTTTCAATAATAAAATATAGTAACTATTTTAACATGAGATAGAGATTATATTGAGTATCTTTCAATAAGAGAACATATTAACTATTTTAACATGAGATAAAGATTATAAGGAGAATGATATCAAAAGAAATATAAATCTATATATATAAAAAGATTTACCATTTTTTAAAAATGGCAAGTCAAACCCTTAGTGAAACTCAAAATGCATTTATTTCTTTCTATTAATAGTAAAGATCTTATATGCTTTTAATTGTTGCATTAAATGTGGTGAACTAATCCCATTAAATTCAAAAGTTTGAACCCAAATTTTGATCCCGATTAAATATAGTGAAATAATCCCATTGTGATTGACTTGCAAAAAATCGGTCTAACAAAATTAATCCCATAAAAATCTCTACAAATATTGAGTTGCGGATTAATTGAAAAGAGTCCCATTTTGCATGGAATCCAAATAATAAAAATCCATACATAAAAAAAAATACAATATGTAAACGTAAACAATCAGCCTACCAAAATTCATCCCATAAAAATCTCTACAAATATTTAGTGCTGATTAATTGGAAAGAGTCTCATTTAGCATGGAATCCATATAATATAATACAAATCTCTACATAAAATATATATATATATATATATATATATATATATA